CAATGAGGGGCAGGAGCAGGACTGAGGGCCACGAGAAGACCACGGTAGTCCGATAAACTAATCACTGCGATCATACTGTCCAGACCCTCTTTTTCACTAAACACACCTCTTGCTATAATTACAAATATATATATATATATACGTGGTTTACACAGAGGAAGCCGAGTTTGTTGATTTTGTTCTGAAACCAGTGAGATCAAAAGTGTCAGATTCTGTTCACAAGGCTCCCAAAAAGATTCTCAGATGAAATATTGATCGGTGAGAAGATGTTATGCTGCGATTGAGTGTAGCCTGGTTTAATAATCCACTTTCCAAGGGTTTTTCCTGCAGTAATGAATCTACATGAGTAATCCAACCTGCCATAGAGAGAATGTGCACTGATGTAATGCCAAGTTAAGCCTCTCTCAATAATTGCCATGTTAAATGACTTTGTGGTTGAAACGATATCTATACTGGGCTCAAAAGTTTAAGTATTTCTTTACAATAAAAGGATTGTTTTATGTATATGAACTCATTATTTTATTGTGGGACCTCAGGGGTTCTAGTACTGAAGTAGTGGTCTTAATTTTTTGTGAATTTCCAAAGATACAATTTATCAGTGGCGTAAAGTTGTTTCGATGTTTTTATTGTCAGTATTTCTCATTATCAATAGACAATACAATGGCTCAGTCTTCACCGTTTACTAGCTTTTACTGGTAAAGTATTGTATGTTATATGTATATGGTATATTATATTATATTTTCATTGGAGAATTTCAAGATTGTAGAATTCCAAATAAATGGCATAAATATCATGAATAAATTGTACTTGACATCGATGTTTGTATCAAAGACGCCCGCCCTAAAGTAGCTCACGTGTGGTGCAGTGATTTGAGGCGTTGTCCATATGTGGTGATTACCTTGACTCCAGGTAAGAGCGATTATGTCTCTCCCTCTTTTCCATCTTAAGCTATAGTTGTGCTGCCTTTGGGTTATTCTGCTGATCACAAATGGTATCTTCTCTTATCATACTTAATTATTGTTATTCAAAAGTAATTTCAAAGGACCAAGAGTTAGTGTTAGTCTTATTTGAAGCTGAGTCAAAGCTACAGTCAGTGTGAGTCACGGTGTAGCCAGAGGGCGTGCTGTCGTCTGTACTGAAACAAGCTGAGCCCTGGGGACTGAAAAACAAACTCTTCTTAATCCCGAGGTACACACACCCCTCCCCCTGCCGGACGTTATGCCCCCACTGCCTTTGCCAACTTGGCCTTTGTGTGGCGACTGTGAGTCATTATTTGTCGAAGGATTTCTATTGTGTGTACAGGTGAAAACAATAAATCAACGTGTTGTCTCATTAGTAAGAGTCAAATTGAGTCACGTTTTAGAGATAAACCATGTGGCATTCTACTAGTCACACAACTTTAGAGGACAATAAAATAGAATAAGTGAGTGAGAGGGAAAGTTAACCCCTTGAATTGAAATGAAGCTAAAGGGAAGTCCGTTCTCCTTCACTTCAGTCTTCCTACACACCGGCGCCTCTGCTAAGCCCCAGTAACTTTTTCTGACACAGTTACACACCTGTGCTACCAGTCAGTCTGCATTTAAACAGTGTTAGCTGCATTCACAGCTTAAGCTCGTGCTGCAACCATCCTCCTCCATGTCACTACCACGTCAATGGTGCTGTTTTTTTACCATAATATTGTCTCATCACTTCACCTTCCACCAGGGCCCAATAAAACGTCTGTACATGTCTCTCACAGTCATCACATATTATCACTTATTCCAAAATATCAAGCAATACAGTTTGAATCAAAGCACTATGAAATGATTCGACAAACTCTCTTGATAGACACTGATTGGTTGTCAGATACAATACATTTTTCTGTGTTTTCTCCATTCAAATTCTTCTGAAAAACCTACACATGTTTGCGCGTTGCAGCTTCACATTCCATCCAAAATCAAAACAACTTTCCTTTCTCTTGCTCTACTCCCTTGCCTTCAACATAATGAATTCTAAGTGGGTTGTTTATAACCTGTGCCCCTAGTGTAGGAACAACCCTGAGACTAAAACGTCACTTAATTAGTGGAATACCAGAGAGGCACTCGGACAACCCTGGCTGCGTGCCGGCTTTCCCCCATTCTAGTCAACCCCTCCTCCACTTTACAGTCCTCTATACATCGCTATAGGTATGGACAATTATTTCCAAGACCATACCACATACCATTGCTCCAGCCAAAAATATCCACTCCTAAATTGAAGTTTCTCTTTCTATGATCTTAGCCAATATCTCTTCTTTGACATGTTGTGGTGTATTGTTTCATGCCGCAGGTTTTGAAGTGCAAATTAATTCCATGCTTGGCTCCTCTGCTGACAAGGGGCTCGTTATTTGATATATATCTTTCTTATGATGCATCACACAGCTTAATTAGGAAACTCAAATTATATCCGTTCCCTAAATGCTATGTTATTTAGGCGCTTTGAAGCCCGTCTTTTCTGTTAGTCCTGTACAGTCGGGCTTGCGGCAAACCGGGAGGCATCTATTCCACAAGGCTTTCATTTACTTCCAATACACATGTCCATGCGCTTAAACCATAGACGGAATTATACCCGAACGCAGCATCCCTCCGAGCATTTTTCCTCCCTCGCGGTCAGTCTCTTTTTAGATTTGACGTAATCTGCCACTTGCACTATCTGGTAAGCGCAGAGAAAGACAACAGTAATCTCACAACATTACAAAAAACCATTGCATATGGAAAAGTGTATTTACGGTTTCTTTTCTCTTTCCTGATCTTGTGAGTGAATATTCCATCACGAAAATATTTAGGTCAATCTGATTTGTGTTGGGATATGATTAAAATTGTATATATACTTGAGAATGTAGTCTTGTTATAAGGGCTTAGTAGTCCATGGCATGTTTGCCTTATCGACCGTGGGGGTGATTGACTGCGTTTATGGACATTCATCAACATTTATGGTCATCGGTCATCTGCCCCTTATGGACCAATCTGTTTTCTATCACTGCATTTCTTGTGTGAACTGTTCGATTCGCTGATCTGTGTTGGGGAATTCAACGGTTGTTTAAAGTCCTCATAGAAAACCACTGTTGTGATTTAGGGCTATACAAGAATACATTTAACTGTATCGAATTTTTATGCAAAGTCGGTGAATTACATCCTACAGCTTGAACTTTTGATATCTTCTTTGGGCAGAATCGCCTCATTCCACTGATGAATTGTTGCGCTTTTGTATCACATCGCCTTGACACCGTTGATGCTAGGGTTTTGCTGTAATCCATTTTGCTGGTGTGAAATCAGAACGCACAGCATGGCATTCCCTTTGGTCACATGGGTCAGGGTTAGCCCCGTCATATTGTGCACGTGAGGACTCAATATGGGCCAGCGCGTGTGTGTAAAGTGAATCAATCGCAACCAGTTTATCAGAGCGGCTTGGTGAGTTGGTAGCAGAGTTGCGTCAGGAGAAATGACCAATGTCGAATACATTGTGACCTCTGCCCATGGGTTGTTTTTGTGAATTTTATTGTTGAATAAATGGATGACAGAAAAGTTTACAAAGACAGAGAAGCAGATGCACTGTTTGTGTATTGGACGTCCCATGGTGTGTGAAAGATTCCCCTAAACAAGACAGCATTGCACACTCTAAATGTGGTCCAAAGAAAGAGAACAAATATCTGCTTTGATGAAGTCATCTAATACTTTTTGAACTTCTATGTTTGAGTGTTCTTTCTTCTTGTTGACAATCATGAGAAGTGCATTCAATAGACCCTGGAGATTTTGTTCCAACATTTTTGGTGAAGGGTCTGTCACTTGCTTGTTTTTTTGGATCTACAGTATACTGTACCCTAACCCTAGCCCTAAGGGGAAATTTAAAATCAATTTTATTGTAAAGGAGCGCTTGTCTGTCCAACCAGCAACTTGGATTCATGCCTGTACCAGCCCCTCTTATACAGAGATGTAGTTTTAATGCTATAATCATTTGCAGGCAAAGAAAATATCCCTTCACAGAAAAGGAAATGTATCTTTAAACCATATCAAACTGAAGCAAATTACCCTATGTTATGTCTTGTGCTACAGTAATGGCTATCCCTCTCATCCCTTTTGAACATGTCAGAAAACTGTTCCAAATGTATTTCAGAGAACAAAAGCAGATCTGTTCTGAAGGCGAAACTGTCAGAAAGCTGAACCGGAGTGATCACTTGTTTTAAGCCTGTCTTTCCCAATCCACAGCTGACGGCTTTGACTCTGCACATCACCACAGCTCCACTTGTGCCGGCTAGAGCGCTCTCCCTCCTCTCTGCACTTTAATTCTCTGTAAATTCCACCACACACACACTCTCTGTAGCTTCGGGGTGCCGTGTGCTTTCTCTGTAGTCGCTTGAACATCTCCACATGTGAACAGCAGCCAGCAAAGAAGAAGTGGATGGAGAGAGAAAAACAATGAAATAGACCAAAGAGATGAAGCCGGCGATTGGACTAGAGGTTTTACTGATGACGTTAGGGAGAAGAGCGCACATCTGGAACGGTTTGGACATCTGCACCTGAAGAAGACAAGCTTTCTCTTGCTCTAAAGCCTCCCCCGGCACTTTTTTTCCCCTTTTCCATTTTGCCTTGCAGCTTGTAAATCTTTTCTTTTCTGCTCTCACACCGGAATGGTTACCCGCTGAGCATCAAGCCTGGAACAGCGAGCCAAAAACGAAGCAGAGTGCATGCAAACAAGATGGAATTATTTGATCAGAGAAGTCGCATGAGACGTCAAAATCGTTGGGAGAATTGGAGTATGGGAGGATTCGGGCGAGGAATTTGCTGACTTGGGCAAGTTTTTAGGTCTTGTCACTCCACAGGTCTGTCCTATACTTTGCCACTTGCAAAACACACCTACTGTTTGCCTTGGAGGATGAGCTTAAGAGGCCAAACCAGCTACCTTTGAAGCAGCTATTAACCCCCCTGACTTCCCAAAAGAGCCCTCCCTCTTTCCTCTTCCAAGTCTTCCAGTACCTGCGCTCGTCACAACACGCTGATATCTGAAAGCGAGCAGGCTGGAGTGCCCTTGGGAGACACGCGCCCGGCTGACAGAGGAGCTTTAGAGACTGCGTGTTCAGGGATGTCTAAAGCTTCCAGGCTTGCCAGACCCCCCTCGAAGCTGCCCTCTCCGCGGAAAGAATGCCCCGGTTCGGCGAGTCGATCGCGGGTGGGGGAGAAGCTGATGAGGGCAGGTAGCGATGGGATTGTGAACAGGCAGAAGTCGTTGACCGTGGCCGTGGCGTCGGAAAAGGGGAGACTTGGAAATGACAACCAAGTACCCGGACAAGAAGAGAAGAGAGAGGACATGACACTTCCAAAGAGTAAGATCGGTCCACCAAAAATGTCCAGTCAGCATGGAGGCGCTGCAAACAGTAAGTAAAGTTTGTTACTGCACTTTCATCTCAAATTAAAGTGACATGTTGATTGTTAGATTTTGAGCATGTTCTTTGTTGGTAAATCTAGTCATTAGTCATCTAGTTTTGCATAAACTTCAGGGCAATTGCTGTCTGTGATTTTTCCCCACGCCCCCTTTTAGTTGAGTAATCTATGGTCTATAGGATGTCTTTAGTCAATCAAGAACTCTATTTCATTTGCTATAAGCTTACTTGTTTGATCACAACATTTTGCACGTTTTCCTTCGGTCATGTTTATTATTTCAACAACAAAAAACAAAACATTGATAATTCAGTTATAGAGGCCAGTCCTGTAATGTCTTGATACTTGGATTTTGAATAGATGCAATGTGTTGAATCTATTGCACAATCATTTCAACCCATTAATCGCATTGTCAACCTGAGCATCTTGCGTTTATTGAACTACTTCTGTCAACAACATACATCTTCAGCAGTTTCATGTTAGCTTTGGGTTCAATATTGTGCAACCCAGTGTATACTCAGGCTCTTGCAATACTTTTCTTGCCTTGTCAAAAGCTTAGGGTTGTTTGCCAGGCACCAATTGATGAGTTGTTGCTGCAACCCTTCTAACAATTTGAATAATTCATCAAATAGGATTGACATTTCTAAGTAGGTTGTGCTGAAAATTAGGAACATCCCACAGCTTCCAGCGGGTCGGATGCAAAAATATTTCCGAAAACAAAGTGGTAAATAACCGACCATTCACCTACGCTATGTGAGCTCCAGTGAAAAAGCATGAAATGTATCTAAATTTCATTGTTGATTCGCTTTCAAGGCAAGTTTGTTTGTGAAGTAGTAGGGGGTGAGTTAAGTGAAAGAGTGACAGAAGGAGGTCAGGAATGCGAGTGTTGCATGCTGGGAAATCAACAGGTCTGAGGTTGTGTCTGTATATCCCCCTCCCTCCTCTAAAGACCAGGTTAGGGGTTATGAGAGGCCGGGTCCTACTGCAAACCAGATGTTCGTGACTTTACTACTTCCACTGTTCTTTGTATCAAAATAATGGCTTTTTTCCCTCCTTTTGGATCTGCTTTCTCTTTTCCGGGTTAGGGTCAGTTCAAAGACATTATGAGAGGTTTTCATATTGTTCCCAGGAGTCTATATGAGAAACAGGAAGTCTTTTCTTTCCAGGCCATATGAAGTGACTCAGTGATATTTTTTGCATGCATGTCCTGTCCTCCTTCGTGGGCTTTTGTTTTGCTTACACACAAACGCATCACCTCCCCAGCGTTCTCTTTGTCTTCACGTCTATCAGCTCTTCTTTTTGGCTTTGTCGTGTTTTGACAGTTCTTGACTCAGTTGTGGGGAGATGCCCCGTGCAGCGCAGGCTAAAAGAGAAAGAGAGCTATCAAAAGGAATAATTCAAGTGCATCCTGTCTCTGCACGTTGGGGAGGTTTTGTGTGGCCACTGTCAGTCGTACTTTTGTCTTCAGGGACAATATCTTATTCTGGAGAAAAATCCCACTTATATAATGCTTAAGAAATGGCTTGAGAATGCATTGATTTATTGGAAATTTAAAAGCTTCATAGAGTGAATGTAAGTTACTTTTCAAAATTGGGAAGAGGGAAACTTTTTAGGGCAAGAACTGGTTCGACCCAACCATGCTCAACCCAGCAGCTTCCTGATTGGTCAAAATGAATTCCAATCTGTGAGGCTTTTTGGTTTAGCTGCTCTTACTGGGCATAGTTATCTAAGGGGAGGGAATATCTTAAATGTATTGTTGTTGAAAAATACTTACTGTACATATTAGTACAATGTTCCATGATCAGAAATATGCATCATTTTAAAATACATAGGAAGTTATTGACAAAAAAATCTAATCCAATGTCACAGTTTTGAGTCAAAGTAAAGTTCCTAGAGCAAAGGCTGCATTGCCTTGCTCAAATTCAGTTTGTCGTGAGTGGGTGAGTGGTTTGTTGTTGGTAGAGATGTGTTGTATAAACGTATACATTTGCTCTTTAGCTTATAGGCTTAGGGGGATTGAGTCAACGGAAGAAATTCACCCAAACATTCAAACTCAGTGCACAACAAATGACTTTCTAGTAGCCACTCTACAACCTTTACCATGTCTGGAAAATACAATAAATTCTTCATGCCACAGACCGAAATTATGTGCACCACAGTTTCACAAATGGTTTTTATTCTGTAAAGAAAAAACAATGTGGAAAATTGATAACGGTAGTCCACATCTTTCCTTGCTGTTGTGTAGAAAGCCGACGTTGTGTAAACATTTTTTGTAACTTGACAGGTATTTTTCCTGGAACTCTGTTGTTGCAAAAACGGCCCTAGACACCATATCTTGCTCCTTGCTCCTTGTCCTTTTAACCAGCAAAGTGTGGGTGTTGCAATTTGCCCGGCTCTCCGCGTCCCGGGCTAAAAGCTGTTCGCGGGACATGGCGTTATCTCAGAGCCGCACTCCGGGTCAAACAGAGCAGACAATAAGTGCATATGACAGGTGACATTTCCAGTGTGTGAAGCCTTCAGAGCTCAGTGCTACATGCCAGAGGGTCCAATTTCAGTCTGCAAGTGGCGGCTTCCAGGGCGAGGGAAATCCATTTGACATTTTTCTGTCCAGGGACGATGCATTACAGGTTCAGCCACCGCTCTGCCATGAGACCGGAGCAAAACTGTGCTGCATCATTCTTCCTCGGGTCAAGTTTGACGAGTAAAGGGTTGCTTGAATTTCTGCTCTATCAAAATTCATGCCAAAAATACATCCTGACGTCAAAGCCAAAGCCAAACCAGCGAGACTTTGTTACGTCATTCAGCGAGCTCAAGCTGGACTCAAGAAATAAGACGTTTAAAACCTAGTTATTGTCTGTATGGTGGATTTTAGAGCTGTGAAGTTGATTTTAGAGCGGTAATGATGAATTGAATAATTCATCATTACTAATAAACTAATCAAGATTTTTTCTTTAATAAGTAATTGATTAATTGATAGCTGCTCTATTTACAGACTCCAACACATATAAGTAATGTGAGATGTGATATACAGACTCAAACAGCAGTAAATATGAAAATATAAAACAGGAAATACCGAAATTTAAAGATACAACACTTTTGTCTGGAAATATAATTTAGAAGTAAATAGTAAGTATCTTTATTTGTATATGTAGCACCTTTCACAGAAAGAATCACAAAGCGCTTTAGAATTGTTGTGGGCATTTTTCCTTTCACTCTACAAAGTGATGGGGACACAGGAGATGCATGCCAGACCTATTGTACATGCTTTTAGTGGTAGGGGAGAGCTTTAGGAGACCTATGCAGACACAGAGAGAACATGCAAACTTCACATAGAAAGGCCTTTCTGCATGGGGGAATCGAACCTGGTACTTACTGGAAAGTGCTAACCACTGCGCCACCGTGCCGCTATCAGAATGTCTTCTAGTTAATTCACTTAAACTAAAACATAAGTAAATAAGATGCTTGGATCTGCAATATAGTATAATAGATTTTCTTACATATTTTTCTTTGATTTAATGGAGTTCTGTCTCTTACACAGCTTCAGGACACCAGCTTCTGTCTTTTTCACATCAAATGGCTGAGAAAACTCTACTGCCAAAAGAGTTCAATTCCAATCGAAGCTGAATCATCCATAATATCCTGCCTTCAGTACACCGTGATAAAAGAGTTGGCCTGGGATTGCTTTACTCTACTATGACCTCAGCCCGATCCAAACCTCCCTTTAGTCCTTGACCAGCTCTGCTCACATAACCTCATCAGGCCTTTGATCCAGACGTCAACCATGCATCTTTCTTTTCACCAGATCCTATAGATAAAGTTTGCTTTTGTGTCGCCCTGACCACAGCCTTTGGTGAGTGAGAGATGCATGCGTCAGTACAAAACCCTCTGCCCAGGATCTGCTTGACAATCTCCTCCTCAGTATCTCCAGGCCAGGGCTCTGATCTGTAGCTTCTTGCCTGTGTTGTCATTTCAACACAATTGCTTGAGCTTGTTCGTTTGACGTTATTAAGACATTCCTGCGTTCTCCAGAGAGTTCTGATTGACTATAAGGTTATGAATCACAGCAAGGCGCTAACAAGACCTTACACGCTCATTGTGCCTATAACAGAAGTTGTCTATCTTTCCTGGGTAAGCCTGGAGTAATGGAGGAGACTTTGGGGATGAAGTTGTAATTATGTATTTCTTTGACACTGAAGCCCAAAGTAGGGATTACACTAATTGCAGTCCCAAGTGATGGTTTAAACGGCGAGGCTAATTTATTTTTGTCTGGCATCCGTCAAAGACACTTCCATATGGATAGAAAGTATAGCTTTGTAATTCAAGATGGATCAATCTGGTGTAGTTTTACTCAATATTATGACTATCTGTTGTTTTAAGAAATATTATAACAATGACAAGTTGGCCTTTAATGAGTCTTTCTTCTGAAGTCGCCATTTTGGGTTGCCATTTCCTTTCACTCTGAGTAACCTGGACTGGACAGCAATAAAACCAAACTGTTTTATAGCTCGTTATTTGGATGTGGGTCAGGTGAAGAAGGCGATAAAACTTCTCACAAGTCGCACGAGGGACAATACTTTGCGTAATAAAAGTTGTGTAACAAGAGGCGCCTATACCTTAAAGCAGGGGTCTCCAACCTTTTTCAGTCAGAGAACTACTTTTATACAAACGAAGAGGCAGAGAGCTACTCCTTTTTGCAGTCGTAATAAAAATGCATCTAATAATTACGACAAAACACGGAGAACACATGTAAAATATATCATAATACTGTATAACCCTATATTTATACTTATAATAGACATGAAATGGCTCAAAATGTATTCATTGTTAATTCTAATTCCTGGGGCTGGCGAGCTACTGGTAGCTCCCGAGCAACAGGTTGGAGACCCCTGCCTTAAAGGTTTCGCCTTTTGTATGTGCTGCTCTTTCCTTTA